CCCTCCTTCGGTCCCAGCTGAAGACCCTCTTCCGCTCCTATTATTCAGTGCAGATAGCCGAGTGGCAGGCCCACCCCGTCCATGGCTCCCGCACCACCCTCCCCCGGTTTGCACTCCATGACCAGCTCTTCCACCTCAATGCCCTGGAGTGGGCGGCCAGCTCTGTAGAGGTCATGGCTGTAGCCGCCAAGAACGTGGCCCTGCTGGCTTACAACCGCTGGTACCAGGACCTAGACAAAATTGACCAAAAGGATCTGATGCACAAGGTGAAGACTGAACTGTGAGGTCTCTGGAGTGAGCCTGGGAACGTCCATCCCCCACTGCAGATGGATCACCCCCTTGGTGGCCGCAGCTGGGCAAGCCATTCTTGCCGCCACGCCTGCTTCTGGCCCCTCCTGTGTTGAGTGTCCTCTCTCCAGCATGGGTGCAGGCAGCCTGCTCTCTGCCTCTCTATCTTAAGGATTCTCAGAGTAGTTGTTCCAAGGGACAGAGTAAGAGGGGAAGGAAATTCAAACCAGTGTATTCACTTTATTTATTTTTTTAAAAGAAGAAATAAAAATCCATCTTCTCCAGCCGCTTCTAACTTGGTTTTCTAACTAGGAAACAGGGATAACAGCGGGAGGGAATGTAAGACAGAACTCAGAATCCAGTTCTTTATTGGGTTTCACTGACTACGCCCAAAACATACCTGTGGCAACACCAGCAACGACACGTGTAGCCAGATGGTTACAAATAAAGTAGAAGGGGAAATCAGGAAACAGAAGACGTGATAATAGCTCCCATTTACCGAGGACTTTTTGGATGTGAGCTACCTCATTAAGTTATTAGACACCGTCCAAGCCTCTCGGCAACACCAGCTACTGGGGGGAGAGGACTGTGGCAGGACCCAAGGAAGAGGTGGTCACCCCAACGGGGCTGTCAGCATAGTCCAAGCTTCCTGGTAACCAGTGGAAAACGGGAAACATGCCAGGCCCAGGCCGTAGGAAGAGGAAGCTTCCTTAGCACCTGGAGGGATTGACCGCTCTGTCCTCTGCACAGGAGATGTGGGTGGAACATTGCCTTGCAAGGAGACAAGGCCCCAGGTGGTGGAGGGCAGTCTCACCTGACCCCCAACATTAACCCCAGCAGAATAGGGAAGAAAAGGTGTTGGGATGGAGTTCAGCGTTGACCTGGGTCAATGCCCAAGCCCTGCCCAGACCTGCTAAATCCAGCTCTGGGGTCGACCTGGAGGACAGACACTGCCAAACACACTGATACCGGGGCTTTCCCAGCAGGAAGAACCCCAGAGGTCACCCGGCTGACTTCCCTTGTGTTAAAGAGATAGAGGTAAAAGCCCAAAGTGACTATATAACTTGCCCAAGGTCTCTTGGTGAATTCACAGAACAGAGCTTAAATCTAGAGCTTTTCCTTAAAATTACATGAATTCCATGCCAAGGCGTTAGTAGTGGTCATGGAAGAGAAGGTGCCTTTGAAGTGCAAGAAGCGTGCCCTTGGTTATTACAGGGATCGTGAAGTTGGCACATAGGTAAGATGACAAACTTGATGGAGTAGAAAGCCAGACTCACACTGGCCTAAGCAATAAAAGGGTGTTACTGGTTAGCACAACAGTCCGGGCTCAGGGCACTGTGCAGTTCCAGTGTCATTTCTTCTCTCATGGTCAAGGATGGCTGCCAACAGCTCCCAGGGTGAGAGGGTCTTCTCCCACGACCTCTGAACCACAGTCTGGGCTCTGGGCCAGTTGGGGCCCTGTGGAACCAGTTACTGTGGCCAAGTGAATGCCACATGCTGATTGGCTTAGGACTCAGTTGGGATGAGATTAAGCTAATTGGCTTAGAATAGTCAGAACCCACCTCTGGAGCAGAGGCGATGCAAACTAAGGTTGGAGGGGTAGGAAAGAGAAGCACCACGTCAACCACAGCTAAAATGGAGCTGTGCCTTCTCATTCCTCTCAGGTCCGGTGAAATCTATGTACAATGACATATTTTCATGCTTTGTACCTAAAGTGAAGGCGCCCCAGGCTATCACGGTGTAACTGATGATCATTGGTATTGGCCAGGGCAACTGAGACCAATACCAAACCGCTTCTGATAACCACCCCTTGCGTCCCTGAGGATGTGCGGAGAGAAAAAAACAGGGCGTTTTACATGTGATCCCCCAAGCTGGCACTTGGGCTCCCTGCTCCAGCCTGACTGCTGTGGAGCTGGCTGCTTCTCCAGGAGCTTCCTTTGTCTGGTTAGGCAGGCCTGAACAGCTCAAGACCAAACCAGGCCGGAATGCCCATGCTGCTGCTTCTCCAAGCCCAAACCTGAGAGCTGGATCTCACCAGCTTCCCACCTACAAGAAGAGGGCAGAGATTCCTGAAGGCAGCGGAAGGGAGCATGAGAACCAGCAGGAAGCATCTGTCCCCAGGCCCACCCTCCCCTTCAGGCCAGGACAGAACCCCCAAGGATCCATGGTTCTCTGGAAGAAGAGAGAGAGCGCGCGTTTGCAAAGACAGAGCGAGCCCTACAGTCTGCCAAACAAAACAGGAAAGAGGCCACACATTCTCAGCAGTCCTGGGGGCAATGTAGTACACGTCCAAACTCCTCAAAGGAACTTTGCCCCTAGAGCAGGTGACTCAAGCAAGATTTCAACTCTTTCAGGGGAGGAGGGATGTGGACGGTAGAGTTGGGGGCAGGTAAGAAACAGTGGGGAGGGAGGAATGCCTTGCTCCTGACCCACTTTTGGAGGAGCAACAGAGGGAGCTAGGGACAGATCTTGGGCTCCCCTTGAGGCCTCTCTGTGTGAATGCATGCATTCATTCATTCACCAAGCGCTGCACCCCTGTTTTGCATATGGCCGTGTGCTAGGTGCTGGGGATTCAACGCTGAAGCTGGCAGATGCGGCGCCTGTTCTTATGGAGGGGGGGATTCTCACCAGAAAGGGGAAAGCATGAAACACATCTGAACTCAGACCAAAGGAGTTTAGGGGCACAGTGCAGACCCATTCTCCATAGGTGCTGAGCTCCCTGCTGCCGCCTGCAAACCAGGGCACTGGGAAGGGCCCACTCCAAGCCCAGGCTCCGGAGATAAAGCTCCCAAGTAACAGAATGATAACACTGCAAAAGACTCTGGAGAGACCCAAACCCCATTTGTTCATTTAACAGATGAGAAAACTGAAGACCGAAAAGAGGAAAAGACAATCTCCACATGAAACTAATAAGCTCACTGGCGCTTACTGAAGGTGTCTCTGTGTCTGGTGGTCTGGCAGGAGCCCCACCAGGTGAGGAGTTCCTCCACCCAATCCCCATGCCCTGGGACACCCGGGGTCTCCTCCCAAAACTGGAGCACACTTCTGCCACTCAACTCTTCCCTGGCCCTACCAAAAGGCCTTGGGGGCCATGGGTCCTTCATGTGCGGCTCAAGTCTTAAGGCCCGAAGAGCAGGTTGTGGGGGTCTCAGAGACAAGCAACCCCCAAGGAGGAGAAGCGGCTGCTGAAGGCATCAGCTTAGGCTGGCACAAGAAATCTATTTTCCATGTGTCTGGAGCCAGGCCGAAGCTTCCTGGGGTAATTTTAACCAGTATCCACTCTAGGACAATACCAAAAAAGGTAAGTTACTTACCACCCCAGACAGACACATACCTAACCAGTGCCCTTTCATGAATTATGGAGCTTAATACATTCACAGCTAAAGCTGCTTTAAGCATGGAAGTTAGAGCAGCCAAGTATTTCTATACTGGCCGTTAGCCCTCTTGTTGAAATTAACTCTAACATGCCAGCTATTCTTACCCTCGGAAAATAGCCGGAGCCCCTCAGCTGTCCTGGGGGAGGGCAAGTATTTTTAGATCTAAGAGCAGCTGATTTAGGATTTGTTGAGGGGGCTAGGAGGGCAGGAGAAGGATTGAATTGCAAGGGGCTTATGGGTGGGTGGGAATTAGTATCTAGGGGGCAAAGAGCCAGGAGAAGCTTCAGAGCAAATCCATCAACACTGCCTTTTTGATGAGCCAAGTGTCTTGATATAAGCCAGTGGTTCTCGAAGTGTGGTCTCCAGACCAGCTGCAGGAGACACTGCGTTAGAAATGCAAGCCTCAGCCCCTACCTCAAACCTACTGACTCTGAATCATTCTGTGAGGGCCCAATAATTTGGGTTGTAACAAGGCCTCAGGGTGATGCTGGTGCTATCTGAAGTGTGAGAACCACTGATATCAGCAAACCATCTAACCAGATCCCCTTGTGGGTAAGCCTGGATGGAAGAACGATTTGTGTTGATGCTTCTCAACTCCAGTGTTTGTGCAAAACCAGAGATTCCCCAGTTACAGAATGATAACTCTGTAACTCTGATAACTCTGTAACTCCCCCCCTCCAAATTCATTCCCACATGAAAATTTCAGGGGCTCACTGGCCCAGGTTAGAAACCCCTGCTCTTTGGCAACCTGGAGGCTCTTTTCTGGTATAAGGCTGACCTGCAGAGAAGCTGAGTTGAAAGAGACCTTATTCGACCCAGAGCAGGAATCTGCTCCACAGTATTCTTGAGAGGCTCGGCCTTAGCTGGACCCTCCCAGAGATGGGGAGTTCGCTGCTTCTGAAGAGACTGTTCGCAACAGTCCCGGCCTTAACTGGGGAGAGTTAACTTTTGGTCACTCCTGCATAGGTTAATGCCAACCAAGCTCCAACAGCATGGCTGAGGTAAGGCTTATAAACCCAAATAAAGCACTTTAAAAAGTGCTTTAAAGGAAGTGTGTGACTGTCCTAAATGGCAGAAATAAATACAGTGATTTTTTTAATAACCTATTTCAGTGTTGGAGAACTCTGAGTGATGGAAAAATCCTCCTTTATATTGATCTGAAATCTACCTCCCTGGAACCTCCTACTCCCACCCTAGTTTTGGCTTCAGAGCCACAAGGAGCAAACCCAAGGTCTTGCTTTGGAAAGACAGCGTTTACTTTTCACTGGCCTCACGTGGTATAGGGATGCAGGGCAGACGGTCTCCAGCTGCCTGCAGACTCTGGGCCCGGGCGGTTCAGAAGATGCAGGTGCAGCCCACGGCAATGGTCTCCATGACCGCGCGCTGGCGGCAGGGCCCAGTGCGCGGTGGCAGCGGGCAGAGGCGGCGGCGCACGGGCACCTGGCTGAACACCGGCACGCTCACCATGCTGCGGTCCTCCTGCATGGTGAAGGGGTTCACGCAGCCCAGACACAAGCACCGAGCCTCTGGCAGGTCCTCGGGGATGCGGCTGGGATCGTGGTTGATGCTACAGGGAGGCAGGAGAGAACAGGACTCAAGGAGCAAATTGGAGCCCACGCACCATGCCCCTGCTTTTCCTAACCCAGGTTTTCCGTCCCACAGCAAAACCATGCTAGCCATAGGGAGAGCAGTAATCGAGTCCATGTTCCAGGTGAGAAAAAGAATCTTGGAAGGCAAGTCAGGTCTCCCAAGGTTATCCAGGTTCAAGGTTACCAGGCAGTCACCCAGTTTTCTTCTTTTATTCAGCAAGATCCCTATCCTAATACTACATGGTGCTATGGGGTTACAAGGAAGCTAAACCCCCTCTATCTCCTTTCCCCTCTCCCCCTTGTTTATAGTCTTGAGGAATTTAATCCACAGGAAGTAACATAGGACATTTATGCCTAATTCCCACTGCAAGAGGAGTCAGGAGGCCTGGGGTCTATTCTGACTTAGTTTCTATTCATGCAACAAATATTTTTCACACGCCCATCATGCAAGTAAGTCTGAATACCCAACAACGCATTGGGTGTTCACTGATGGGCAGCACAGAGGAGTTCCCTCCTACAGGTGGGAGTGTAGGAACTTGATTTGTGACCTGTCTTCACTGTGCCTCAGTTTCCTCAGCTGCTAAATGTGGGCAATGAACTTGACCTGTGGACCTGCAGTGTCAGGATCATCTGGGAACCTGTTAGAAACGCCTGTTGGACTTTACGCCATCACAGAAAGGTCTACTGAACATGTTATTCTGGAGTCTCGGGACATCAGTTGTGCAGCCTGGGTTTGTGAGTGAGGACCCTTCAGGTTAGCCCGTGTCTTCATTATTCATTCAACACATACACAGGTGGCCCCTTCTATGTGCCAGGTGCTAGGCTGGGATGTGGAGCTGCATGCAAACCAAGGTAAGACCCTTCCCTGTCATCCAGAGGCAGCAAGTCATGATTCCCAAACCCAGCGGCGCATCCTAATCATGGGGCTATGCATAAAGTCCCCCTTTCTGGGCCTCAGCCCTGGAGGTTTTAACTAGATGAGGATCCATGGGTAACACCAGTGCAGGCACTGGGAAGGTCCAGGTCCAGCATGAGTTTGATACGGACACAGTCAATTCAAGGCCACCTGGAAGTGCAGTGACTGAGATGTGCATACAAGACACTCCAAGCTAGAGAACGCGACATTCAGGCAAGGCCTTGCAGCACTATTGTTCTATTGAAGAACAATAACAGCGGTGCTCTGCATGGATGTCTCTTTGCAGAGAGGCTAAGCAACTTGCCCAAATCTACACAGAAAGCAAGAAGCAGAGCCAGAATTCCATCCTAAGCACTCAGGCCTCTGCCTCCAAGGTCTTAACTCTTAATAATGACAGAGACCATGTACAAGGTGTTCCCCCTCCCCCTGCAGCCCTCAACATGCAACCCAGCTTGTGCGGGCTGGCCTACCTGTAGCCCCATGGTGACAGGCTTCTCTTGTTGGACAGCCACAGCTGCAGATTGACCTCACACTTCCTCCTCACTGGCTCGGAGCTGTTCCTCAGCTGGGCCACCATCTCCCCAAGGTTCCTCTCATATTCCTCCATTCGGGCGTATGGCTTCACCCGTGATACCAGGTCCAGCGGCACCTGATGAGGCCCAGGGGCCAGGGGCCCAGGCCGCCCTTGACCCTTCCTCTTGCTTTTGGGGTTCCTGGGCTGACCCAGCCCCAGAAAGATGGAAATGGTGAGAAGAAACAGCTGAGGAGGAAGGTCACAGGTCAAAGATGAGAAAGCCAGGACTCCATGTAGGCCAAGACTCAGCACCCAGAGAGGGGAGAGGGGAGAGGAAAGGCCTTATGGGGGCGTGCCCTGCCCGGGTCCCGCCAGCCCGCTGCACACGTGTACCAACACTTTCATGCACCACACTCATTGCTCAGTCCGGTCTGGTACACCTTTGAATACCCTCCCCACCCATTTGAATTGAAAAGGTTTTTAAGGGCCAAGGATGGATCTTTTCTAAATGCTATTATTTGTAGATAAAGTCTTTTTTCCATCCCTGAAATAAGAATCCCCCCACCCATCCTCTTCTCTGTCTGCTCCACTATCCTCACTTCCTTGAATAGCTCAGCAGTCTCCTGCCTGGTCTCCCCAAACCCCCCCCCCCCCCGTCTCCTTCCAAGCCAATCTCCACACCAGGGCTAAGCGCAGCTGTTTGAAACGCCCATCTACTCGGGTCACCTTCCTGGGCCCGTGCTTCCTCTGGCACTGGTGCTTCAGCCTCCGGTCTTTTCTCAGTTCCTTCCTCTCACCATGCTCCTTCCTGCCACAGGGACTTGGTGCAGGCCATGACCTGCAGAGTCCTGCCTCTCCTCGCTTTCTAAGAGCCTCTCAGCCCTCCAGGGTCCCTTGCTAAGGGGTGCCTTGGCAGGCCTTTTGCGCCCTTAAGGCCACATGCCTTTGCTCATAAGACTACTGTCTTATAGTCTGTATATGTGAGACTCTTCTCTATGTCTGTCCCCTGCTAAGCACAGACTCCCTGAGAGCAGGCAGGGGTCAGCATCCACACCCTGTCTTATCCCCGTGTCCAAGTGGATGCATGGCTTTCACCATCCCTGCCTTCTGTAGCTTAGAGTCTGGGAGAAAGAACAGATGCTGAACGTGAAAACAAACACCTAAATCTCACTAGAGACGAGAGTGATGGTGGGACTGTGCAATGCGTGGTTAGAGAAGAACAAGGCCACCCACGTAGCCAGGTGGCGGCGTAGGGGCCCTGCAAAGCCTTTCTGAGGTGTGGGCATGTCAGGCGAAGTTTGGAGGATGAGAAGGAGGCAGATGGGAAAGAGTGTGAGAGATCTGAGTTGGGTAAGAGCTTTGCTGAAAGGAAACAGTGAGGCTGAAGTAGAGTCTGCAGGGGGAGGGGCACGAGATGAAGCTGGGGAGATGGGCAGGTAGAGCCAAGGATCTCTGATGGACTCCCTGACACCTGTGCTCCCCTCCTGCAGCCTCTAACCCTCTGCCCGCCCCACCCCTCAGCCTCTCCTCACCCACTTGTGTCCACCCCTCACCTGCTGCTCTCCACTTCTGCCCTCAGAGCCGGGAGCGTCAGGAAAGCCTCTGGCTCACCCCAGAGAGGACCCAGACTTCTCAGGAAGCCAGGGAGAGAAGGGCCAGGACTTGGGTGGGGCCAGGGCTGGCCAGATGGGCGGGCTGACCTTCGGGGGGAATTTCACCTCTTCCCGGAATCTAGCCAGGCTCCTACCTGCCCTGTGTCCCTCACCCCATGGTTTGCATGGCCCATGCCTGCCTTATCCAGGCCACCCAGCAAGTCTTGACCCTTGGAAACAAGTTCCAGCGAAGTCCTTCTTGGCAGAGCCATTTCCTGGAGCAAAATCCATGACAGAGATTCAAGACGCTAAAAGTCTTCCTTTTTGGTCCTAGATTCTGGTGCAGAAAACTGTCTTTCTAACAATAGACTTTCTCATCTCATCTGAGTTTCTCACCTGGCATTCTTATACTCCAGTTCTTCATCCAGAGAAACCCAGAATGGAATCAAAGTCCCCCTTCCCTCATGCTGCAAATGGGAACCAGAGGCACCGAGGGACTTGCCCAAGGTCACACAGCCTGGCTCTCAGGACCCAAGGACTCTTTGGAAAAACCCTGATAACTGAGTTTGCCAGGATCGCCCCAGATGCCTTTGGCCTGAAAGGGCTTCAGTGTGGACGGGCTGAGCCCTACTCAGAGGCCTGAGCTACTGGCCATGGCTGCAGTCTGTGAGACCAGTCTGTTTCTCTCTAGTCCTGCAGGAGAGGACAAGGGGAGAACTCTGCAGGTTCCAAGCCAAACAGAGGCAGACATTAATCAATAGGAAAGAAGTACTGAAACACCCAGGCCCTAAAGAGAGGTGGGGGCGGGGGAAGCACCACGTACCAGGTTGTACAGCCAGTCCATCCCGACGAGCCAGGCGGTCAGCCTGCAGCTGCCGCCCGCCTGGAACCCCAGATGCCTCCACCAAGAGAATGGCAGCGACAGGATGAGCGAAGCAATTATAGCTCATCAGGGGGCTGCTGGGGGTGGGTGGGCTTGTCCTCGCTGGGAGCCTCGGGCCCCCAGCTGGTTGGGCCTGGCGCGGTGGCAGGCGGTGAGGGGCGTGGGGGCAGGCCAGGAACCCGCAGAGGTGCCCAGGGCTGTTGACTGAGGGACAATGCCCTGTGTGTCTGGTGGGGCTCTGGAGGGTGGCACCTCCGCCTGTGGCCTGCGGCCGGCCCGCTGGCCAGCACCCACAGGGCCAGCTAAGACAATCAGCTTCGTTTGCTTTGGGGATGGCAAGGGGGTGAGGGCAGAGGAGGGACAGGCTGTCCATTGGTCAGGAGAGCAAATGTGCTCAGAGCGTGCTGGCCAGGAGCAGGGCACAGGCCCCCGCTCCCAAGACGGCAGACTCGGGTGCTCTGGCCTCGGCCGGTCTCAGGTGAGCTCCACAGCCCTTGATGACCAAAGTGCCACTTCCTTAGTTCACAAGTGGGGAAACTGAGGCCAGCTGGAGCAGAAAGGGACTTGTCCTGGATTACAGTGAGTTACAGATGCCAGAGTAGGGGTCCCTCCCTGGTGCTGTGCAGGGCTCTATCCACCAGCCCACACTGTTTTTCTTGGGATATTTTCTGTGCAGTTCTGGGCTTCTGGGAATGTGTTTCTGAATCTGTGTTCTCACACGGGCCAAGTCTCAGACCCCTGAGGAAGCTTGGCCGGTTGTTCTGGCCTTCCTGCTGTCACGTTCCCCCTCGTACGGAGGAGGTCTCCAGCCCAGCGACCTGGCTCCATGCAACTGTCTGTGACTTTGATTCTCTCTCAGCCTCAGTTTCCCTCTCAGTAAAATGGGTGTTGCACCCAGGAATCAACAGTGGCCTAGCCCATTTCTCCCTGAAATCGTCCAAGGCTTAGTTCTCATGTCTCTAGAATGGGAATCATCAAGGCCTTTACCATTCGGGGCTGTTATAACGACTGAAAGACATAACCCATGTTAAACAGCTGGCACGGTGCCTGGCATGGAGTAACTGCTCAATAAACACTTAACAGTTTATTATGGAAGATTATTATAACATAATTTTACAGTTGTTTTTTATAAACATCAGCGGTTCTGATTAGCCTTAGCACTAGCACAGTTCCCACCGCTCTGCCAAGGGAACTTCTACCCCATCGGGCCCACCCTCCTGGCTGAGAGAGCTCTGGGTTTCACAGGCTCTGGGGACAGTTTCATGAGCTCAGGTGACCCCAGGGTCTATGTGTCCTGGAATCACATGCTGAACTGACCAGCCCGGCAGGACACTGGTCGAGGTCTCTCACTCAAGTGAACGGCGCAACCAATGGTGAGCAAGCAAGTCCACCCAGGGAGGCAGAGGAGGGGATGGAAGGGAGGGACACCGTGAGCAGGCGTCCAGGACTGCAGCGTCTTGTTGAGGGGCCACTCTTAGCCATTTACAGGAATCAGCCTGAGGGAAGAACGCGGGGTGCGAGGCCCTCCTGAGTGTCACAAGATTAATCTGTCCAGGGCAGGTTTCCACAGCACAGCCGAGAAGCTGGCTGGGGCTTGAGCTCATCGAGAGATACCACCATATTTGGTCAAATACTAGACAGGGCTCCATTCTATCGCTGGAAACTCCAGAGGGAGGGGGAGTCTGAAAATACCTCCTCAGGCAGCAAGGGCCCCCACTCCCACCCCCGGCTGGCCCAGCCCCACCACCACTGTCCTTTGAACCAGTGCAACAGCCAGAGAGACTGGGCAGAGGATGGAGACTGCCTGGCTGTGTCTTGCGCATCCCCTCTTCTGCCGAGGGCGGTGGGGTCTGAGGCCAGCAGCTGGGCGACCCCTCCCAACCTCCGCAGAAAGGCGGGAAAAATCAAGAAGGAGACTGGGTGCAGGGGGTGCCTCTGCTTCTCAGGACCCCGAAGCCACCACACTGTCCTCGTCATTTCCATCTCCCAGGCAGGAGTGATGATCAGCGTCCTCAGCTTCCAGCCTGGTGCATGTGGATGCAGATGCCGCAGTCCTTGGCCCGGAGTTCTGACGTAGCCAGCCCGCGAGCTGCACTTCAGGAAAACAGCAAGTCTGCTAGCAGCAGGAACTGTTGCCATCCTCCTGCTCACTCCTACCCCCCCCCCATTCTACCACGAGGCGACCAAGGCCCAGGGCAGGGCAAGCCCTCCCCCTACGCCTACAGCACATCAGTGCCAGGGGTGAGCGAGGCTGGATAGAGCACAGCACGGCCTCCTAACCCTTACTGCTCCTCAGAAACTTTATACACACAGCTCTGGGCCCGGCTGGGGCTCTGTGCTGGTCTAGAGGGGGCGCAGAAGCTGGGTCAGTCCCTCTGGGGACCCCAGAGCCCTCCCAGTGGAGAGGGAGGTCTGCGGGGGTACTCAGGCAGTCACCGAAGGAAGTGACCATCATGGGATTTCCCATTCCTGGCCAGCCGAAGGCCAGGAAAGAAGCCCCTTCCTCCAGTCTCGGTTTCTAGAAACTACTGGTGGGTCACCTGCCTTCGGGCACATCCTGAGTGAATTCTGGCAGACCCCAGAAGGACCTGCCCTGCAGGTCAGAGCCAGGCCAGAGAGGGAGGCATAGTGACTTGGACTTCAGCGGCTTCTGCCCCACAGCAGAGTTGGGGTCCTTAAGCCTTTACACACGGAAGGTGTCAGTACATGTGAATGAGGGAAAGGTCAGATGGGCCGGATGGAGAGTGAGGGGCCGAAGGCCATGGCACTCGGAGCAGCGGAGCCCCAGCTGCAGGAGCAGCGCTGTGCTCACCGCCAGGTGGCACCACCAGCCATTTCTGAGGAGCCCTGCAAACCCTGATGGCCCCTCTGCACCAGCCACCCATTCTCTGGAATGGGCTGGGGGCTGTAAACGAGGAGCCCGGGAGAGTGAGTTTGGGTCCTGTGCCCGCCCCTAGCTACTCCAGTGACCGTACTGTCTGTCAGTGAGGACCAGTGCCCAGGACACCTTCCTCCTCAGGGCGGGAATGGCGCAGCTGGTCAGGAGTTGGGGCGGCAGGGTGAGGGATAGTGTGGGGGCTCTCTCTGCTGGTGGGTGAGTCCCTTCACCTGGAGCACCTCCTATGTGCCGGGCCCTATGCACGTGACCCCTGGACACCTTAATTTCCAGAAAAAAACAATTAGTAATAATAATATCTACTCACTGACTGGCAAACTTTGTACTAAGTCTTTATGTGCATTGTCTCATTAAATCCTCCCAGCCACATTTTATGTTCTAAATTTTCTACATTAGGAGTAAAATTAGGTCCTAGTTAGGTTTTAATTATCCTGAATGTAGAATGGGGAAACTGAGGCTCAGGGAGCCAATGTCATAGAGGCTTCAAAGCAAGCTGTCTGGTCCATGCACATGCTGCTCCCTGCAGTGGGGACAGGAGAGGAGCAATGCAACCAGGACAGGAGGGGGATGTCCAGCCAGTCTGTCGTGGTCATTGGCTGGTCATTGGCAGTCACGTGGTCAAGGATATTGGGAGTGCTAATGCTTGCTTCAGCCTCACCCTGACATCCTCAGACCATCTAGACCCTACGTGTTGGGGAAGACCCTGAGCCCATGCCTGAACACAAGTCCTCTGGGGGATCTGAGAGCTCCAGGGTGTGGGCATGGCACCCAGCAACGTCCCTAACACAGAGGAGGCCCCCGGTATTTCACGCATTGAATCAAACCAGCGGTCTGTCCTGCAGGGTGGTACTCCCGGGGTAGAACGTGGGAGGCCAGAGCAGCCGAGCCCCAGAAGAGCAGGGGCTGCCCGTGGACTGGTCCAGACTCCAGAGGGTGACAGACTTGAGTTTTAATCCTGCTTCTACCTGGTCACAACTGTGTGACCTCGGGAAAGTTACTTGACTTCTCTGAGCCTTAGTTGCTTCCCCACAGTGGAGATAAAAATAATTTGGCTCTCAATAGATTGTTGTGAGGATGGAATGAAATACTGTGTGTAAAGCACTTAGCAGAGTGCCTGACAAAAGTGAGCACTCCGCGAACCGCGGCTCCAGTGATCACTGTCGTGGTTAAAACAGGTTTAAGTTGGACCTTCTAGGATATTTCTGGAGTGTTCCTAGGTAGGAAGGGCATTGTCAGGTGGGGACCAGGACAGAACCAACAGCAGAACGCAGAGGCCCTGGTGCCCGGTGGGTCTGCCCTGGAACACCAGCTGGGCCAGCAGGACCCGCAGGATTCGGTCTAAAGACCAGTCCAAGTGGACCCAGTAAGGGGCTGGGGAGGCCAGAGGAGACTAGCTGGCGCCTCTGCTGCCAGATGGACAGGGGCTGTGGCCAGGAGGGCGCATCCTCCACAGGAGGTCTTGGCTCTCCTGCCATGCTGCCCACCCCACCCTCTCCCCTCCCGGGTAAGGCTCCTTCTCCCAGGCCCATATTTGCACAAATGCCTGCCTCACTGCTCACGCCAGAGCCCGAGCCAAGAGGCACTATTTTAAGCTCCCTGGACGGGAACGCTGTTGGTGGGAACAGACCCAACCAGCTCCCACTTCTCAAAAAAGGGAAAAGCCGCAGGGAATGGGCAGCCCCCGGGATATACAGAGGGGCTGCCACATCCACAAGACCCTCTGCCCAGGCCAAGTGCCAATGCCTCCTCCCTCACAGGGGACAGACAAGAAAGTATGTGTCGGGGTAGGTGGCCAAGAAGAGGTGGGCTTGTGCTCTGGGACTGGGTGGCCAAGGCCTCCCTTTAGCCCAGCATTCAGCCTTGAAAACACTGGGTTTGTTTCTGGGTTTCATACTGACATTGCATTGCACCTCATTTCTTGTTAGCACTTGCCACCCATAGAACCTCAGAGCCGGGCATTGTCTTGTGTAGCTCCTACCTGTAGGAGGAGTAGGGACCGCTTCCAAAGTGCCTCTGCTGGGCGCCTCCAGCCTCGGCAGGCCATTTCTCTCTGAGGACGCACATTCCATGTTTTAAAGCTGTGGCTGTTGAAGATGATCATTGTAATTATACATGTCTCCTCTCATGATGCTAAAGTTTACTTCCCCGCCCCACCCCTGCTCCATCATGCACTGGGAGACCCCGTGGTATGGTGGGAGATTGCAGACTTCAGAAAAGGTGACTGGACCCTTGCCACTTCTTACGTAACCATGCCCACTCTTTCTAACCTCAATGAGCCACAGTTTCCCTACAGGGTTGTTAAAATCAATGTATCATAAAAATTGTGATTTACCTGATGCACAACTAGTGCTTCATAGTTGGCAAGTTGGGGCTGTTTTTATTGTCACTCGGTTGATTTTGTGTGTCCCTGTTTGTTATATGCAGTTTTGTGGATTTATGTGCTATTTTTGTTTTTGATTGGAAAGACACAGTATAGGCAAAGATTTAAAGCCCAAACTTTGAATGCAGCAGCTGGGTGGTCTTGGGTGAATGGCCTAACCTCTCTGAGCCCACATGTCCTCCTCAAAAGGAAGGGGGATTTAACCAGGGAAGTGCCTGCCACAGAGCGGTGCCCAGTAGATGGCCTGGCTGCTGTTTCCCTGTGCATGTTGTTTTTAGCTCTGCCCAGTCGGGTCACACAGAACAATTCTAGTTAGCTCTGTTCTGGAGCTTTCTAACTTCCCAATCGCAATAATAGAATGGCTCGCCCTGGGAAAGGGCGAACTCCCCATCAGCCAAGGTGTTCCAGCAGAAGCCAGAAGACCAGCTGGGAGTGCTGTGAGGGAGAGTCAAGAAGAGAAAGGGGTTGGGCTCGTCGTGCTTTAATAAATAGTTCCCTTCCAGCTCAGAGAGGTTTAAGTGCTATGTCCAAGGCCTCCAGCCCCTATCCACCCCCATTAAGGGGCTGTCCTGCCTGCCTTGTCTTGCCCAGACCTGGAGCAGGAAAGAGCCCAAGAAGGCCTGTGGGATGTGGAATAAACAGCCTGTCCCCAGGGCAGACGGCGGCGCCGGGGGCCCCTTGCCCCCAGCGTATCCTCCCCTCATTCCCAGGGGATGTTTATACTCGGGTCGGAGTTTACAGGACGTCTGGACTTACAAGATCCAGAGTTCTGGCTTTCCCCCCGGAGCTGTCGGCCCCTCCTTTTGCAGGGTGGATCTGTATCTATTTTGGGTGGGAAGCGCCATCCTCAGAAGCAAGAAATGGCTATGGCATGAGAAATGTTCTCTTCGGACCCCCAGAATGTAGACCCTGGTGGAAGAGGAAGCCTGGGCTGCAGAGGATGGGAGAAGAAGGGGGTTGGAGCCTTCTGGCTGTCACAGGCAAGGAGACCCGGCACAGGGAGAGGGGACTTCCTTTGCAGCTTGGGTTCAAAGGCCTGCTCCCCAGAACAAAGCTAAAAATGGATGGTACTCACCAAAGTCTGCCTTACATATTGGCTTCTGTTACTGCCTCAGACAGTGCTGGTTTTATTGCACTTATTTTGGTATATATCTGTGTGAGTGAGAATTTCTGAATGGGGCCTTGTGTGTGTGTTGTCAATTTTTTTGTTTGTTTTGAAGAATCGGGCAGTCAGCATGACTTATTGACACATGTCCCTCTCAGAGCCTGCTCTGGGGACCTGTAACCATAGTAGGTCTTGCCGAAGAGGCAAAGAAACCCTGAGATCTACTCACTACCCACCACCTAGAGGACAGGCAGTGACTCCAAGACACATCATGTCCCACTTCAGCACGGAGCCTTAATGGCCATTGCCAAGGTCTCCGCCCCTAACCTGCCTCCCACACAGAAAACAGCCTCAAAAAATGTGCAGGCTCTTAGGACTCCAGCGCCTCCCAGCCCTGGCTCCACGCAGAAGCTGCTCTCTGTGGCCTGCAGCTGTTAAGAGGTGATCTTGAGAAAGTGCCCCAGGTGGTGGTTTAAGTACATTGCCTAGGAAACTCTGGAAGTTTCAAGATATGGGCAATGAGGACCCTTGGGAGTTCTTGAGGAGGGTTCATTCACTTCATTGGACAAATACATACTGAGCATCTACTGTGGGCACACAGCAGTGAACAGCTAAAGGAGTTCCTGAGCTGATGCTCTTAGAGAGGATGGCAGGCATTACAATACTGATATTTTAGGACCAGCCTACGGTAGAGAGACTGTTGCTGGGCACCTCTCCTCTTGGTCTTCTAGACCTACTGCATCCTCGGGAACTGCCGGGTCTCCCGCAAACCCCATGACCTCAGCCCTTGAAACACACGGAGGAAGGCACAATGTTTCCAGAAGGTGAAATCTTGCCAAATTTCCACTGGAAAGTCGGTTCTCATAAATATTGTATTTGTGAGGAAGGAGGAAGAAATGGCTCCTCTGGAACCTGGCCATTTCCAAAGTCTGGTTCCCAGGAAAGAAGCATCTGTAATTGTTCTAATATTAGAAGACATTTTCAAGGTTTCTGACCCTGGGAGACGGAGATGGTCCAGCCAGGGACCCAGACAGATGCGACCGATTGTTGCCCCTGTGGTAGGAGTGATACCCTTGGTAGGTGTACAGCACTCTACAGTTTACAAAGCACTTTATATCTGTGACTTTATTTACTCTTTGTATCAATCCCATGCGAATATAAAGATTTTTACAAAAGAGAAAATGGAGGCCCAGGGATGGGAAATAACCTGCCTGTGGTCAGATAGCATGGGGAAAGGGGCAGAGCTTAGGATCCTGAGGCCACTTCTGACCACTACCCTCCGTAACCTTTGCCCCAGCCTAGGAATGAGCCCTGGAGCTAGGCGGCAGCTGCCGGGGACCCCTGCCTGTCATTCAGCAGTGTACGCAGAGTGCCCAAGGCCGTCCAATGGTTGCTCACATGGCCTCGCTGTGTTCTATGAACAAACCTACATCAGAGGGAGGAGTGTCTGGTGAGAGGGCTAGGTGCCAGGGGGATGTCTTTTCTCAGTCCGTTCCAGAGAAAATTCAAGGGTTGGGATGACCCCAATCTTCCTCTCTCCAGTGCTGTGTTCTTGGAAATGCTGGGGCGGTTTGGCTCTTCAGTCTGGTGATCACATAGCTATGTCTGTCATTTTGTCTCCACGTTGGGATTCCATTGCATTCTGTCCCATTACCCCAACCACCAAGCTAGCTCTGACTTCCTCATTTCAGATTCACTTCCAAATCTTCTCATTTTTTTAGACCATTTATTAGTCTCGGGCTCAATGAGACCTTCCTGGTCACTTTGCTGGATTCTCAATGATACTCCTATTCAATGCTCTTGAGTCTCTCATTGGTCTCCACTTGTTTTAAATGTTCACCTCCTTGCATCTTCCACCTGCTGATGACTAATTTGCTCTTTGAGAATACCCAGGAAAAAAAGCTGCTCCCTCTGTCTTATGACAAGGAGTATCTATCAAGAGGGGCCAGGTTTTGCTGCAGTAACAAACAGCCCCCAGTTGTCGATGACTTCACCCAGGGAAGGTGTCTTTTTTACAAGTATATGCTGCTCTGTTCCTCGGAATCACGCAGGGACACAGAGTCACTATCACAATGGAAGCTTTATCACAATGTTCGATTCCACAAGGGATCAGAGGCTTATAGGCAACCAATTTATAGAGGTCAAGAATAGGTTCTGAAACCTCTGTTCCAACTAATTTCCTTTCATCTTTTTAACTGTCAGTTTCTTATCTGTACAATGAGGATGATGAGAAAGTACCTACCTTGCAGATTTGCTACAAAGTTAACTGAGAGGGTGGGTGTTAACCAGACTCTACAATCCAGACTCTACCTCAGCAGAGTCTGGTTTGTAGAAAGAACTCAATAAATGTCAGCTATGATGACATTAATACAACATTAAAACGTGGACTTAACTTGGCAGTGGCTGCCACCTCCAGGCGGCACAACTCTGGCTCTTGGCCCTGTTCCTCATGTTGACCAGTTTGAATTCCTCCGAAGATTTAAAGCATTATTTTTTTCCCTGCAAGTCATTTTCACATTGTTTTTCACGTATTTTATCTCATGAGAGAGGCCTTTAGGGGTTCAGAGCCAAGGGAGGCAAAGGTATATCTATGTGTCTTGCCGACCCCAAGTTCTTCTGTGGAATCTAGAGAAGAGAGGTCACATTTGGAGAAGAATCCTTACCTGAGACAAACTCAATGGCAGAAAGACACAGAATCAAACTGCAGAATGTCAGAGTTTGAAGGGACTTTTAGAATAAGCAAGTCTCATCATCTCTTCTCTTTTCTAGATGGGGAGACTGGCCCAGTACCTTACAGAATTTATAAAGATTTATCTTTAAAATCCAGTCCAGAGAGGGAAAGAGACAATGTCACACAGCAGTTCAGGGTCAGATTTGGAGTCAGAGCTCACTTCTTTTAATCCCAGTCTTGGGGCTTTCTACACACCCCACAAGGGGACAACATTCTTCACCATTGGGACAGGGTGGGGTGGAGACAGGGGTAGGAGGTATCTCCTTGGAATTATGGCTTGTCTTTGTTTCACAGGGTTGTATTCCAGCAGAGATGTAAAGTTAAGAACTTTATAAACATTACCTTATTAAGGCTTCTTGGACACCCGAAGTCGCAGATCCTCTGGGTCACGGGACATGCAGTGAGCACCCAGTGAACAAACAGAGGGTAGTGTTACATTTTTCATTTCATTTAGAAAACCTGGCTTCTAATTATAGGGTTTGTTTAACAGTCCTGGGTGGTTTATAAAGGCCTAAAGTCAGCCTGCCGTCCTAAGGGCTGGCTGGGGAGTGTCAGAAGGGAAGACGTGGTCAGGCGGGGACAGTGTGGTAGGAAGGGGGCCTCAGCAGCAGCAGGGGGTGATGAACAAGCTAAACTTAAGCCAAGGAAGGCCTCAAGGGGACTTTAAAGTAATTTTTCCTAATCCCACCAAACAGGTTGCTCATAGCTGGAGACTGTCTCCGAGAACTCCCCTTTGTTACCGCCCCCCCTTACCCAGGCAGTGAGCACGAGCCTGTCCCACGGTCAGCAGGTGAAGCAGCGATCGGGTTACCCTTGCGCTCCCTGTCACCCGGAGGCGCCCCCACAATAGCACAGCCCCCACCCCAGGGATAATGGGCCAGGGGCTACCTCCATCTTCATGATTACTTAAATAAATTTAAGTAACTTACTTTTTAAATAATTCCTTATAAAGTCTGTAAAGTACTATTACACTGATAGGTTATATTCCCTTAACACAAAAAATCAGAAATTAGAAAAAGCACAAATAAAAATAGAAGTCCCTAATGTTACATGTAATTATATTATAATATATCACTGAAATCCCCATAGTTAAGTTCATTATCTAAGGACGCAAGGGACTTATCTAAGGGGACTCTGGGGTGGGGGAAGGGCATCGTGATGAAGCTGAAAGGCTCCCCTACTCATGCAGCCCAAGTTGGGTTCTGGGGATCTTGCCACACTGCCCCCAAGCCAAGACCCTGAAGGTCCAGCCCATCCACCACGCAGCCACTCCCACTCCACACGGTGGGCTCCGATGCAAGCTCAGCCCAGGCCCCTCCCTCCCTCTCAAGAAAACCTCTCCAGATCCCATGTCTCCCCAATGTCCCAGCACATTCATTGCTGAGTCAGAACGTGAGCTCTTGCACACACACACACACACATACACACACACACACACACACCCCTCTAAATCCCTTGGGCAAGCCGGCTCTATGCTTTCCTGAAGCCGGGCCTGTGGTTTCCAAAATGGGTTATCGCTCCAGGCTCAGGAAAAATATTAGGAACTTCTGTTTTTACTTCTACCTTTTCCGATTTCTATTTTTTTATTTATGTATTCCCTCTGCCCTACCCCCTGCTCCTCCCAGGCTCTCGCCTCCCTATTCTTTCTCCCCCAGGCTGCCCAAGGAGGCTAAGAGGTCTCTCCTCCATTGCTGGGGGAGACCGCATTGATTACAACTTCTGTGGGAGGACAGGGAACAGTGCATCTCAGGATCACAAATGCACATGGCCTGTGGTCCAATGACTGCTCTTCTAGGCCTTCATCCGGAAAAGGCGTCCCCATGTAGAAAGGACACAGGCACTGGGACGGTCTTTGCAGCATTGTTCATGACAGGAAGGGATTAGAAATCCTGAGCGGGCTCACCCGTACAGTCACGCAGGGCGGGTGACACCTGCCCAGTGGAACATGGCCCTCTCTGTGAAGACAGGCTGCATTATCTGAGAGGTGTTATGGAGGAAATGAAGTTCAGAACGGTGTGAACAATAGGCTTCTGTATGTAAAATAAAATTCAGGGACTGTATTCGTGTGTGGGTGTACTTGCTAGCATGAGCCCAGGCTTCCTCGAGAAATAGACACAAAAATTGGTAACAAGATGTCCTCTGGGGAGATGCAAATTAAAACCACAATGAGATACCACTTTACACCGGTCAAAATGACTATCATAAACAAAGCAACAAACAACAAATATTGGAGAGCTTGTAGGGAAAAGGGGACTCTAGTTCACTGTTGGTGGGATTGCAGACACCATTATGGAAAACAGTATGGAATTTTTCTAAGAAAACTAAAAATGAATATGCCTTTTGACCCAGCAATTACGCTGCTAGGGTTATATCCTAAGAATCCTGAAACACCAATCCAAAAGAACCTATGCACCCCAATGTTCATAGCAGCACAATTTACAATAGCCAAGAGTTGGAAGCAACCTAGGTGCCCAGCAGTAAATGAATGGATCCCAAAACTATGGTACATTTACACAATGGAATTCTATGCAGCAGAAAGAAAGAAGGAGCTACTACCCTTCGCAACAGCATGGATGGAACTGGAAAGCATTATGCTGAGTGAAATAGGCCAGGTGTTGAAAGACAAATACCATATGATCTCACCTTTGACAGGAAGCTAAACAACAAAACAAACAAGCAAGCAAAATATAACCAAAGACACTGAAATAGAGAACAGGCTGAGGGGACCAGAGGGGAGAGGGGAGGGAATTTCAGGGGAAAAGGGGAAGGTTTCACAGGAACAAGTATAAAGGACACATGGGCAAAAACTAACAGGGGTAGAAGTGGGAGGGAGGTGGGGAGCACTGAAGGGGTGGCCTGGGGTGGGAGTAAAAGACAGAAAACTGTACTTGAACAATAATTAAAAATTTTTTTAATGGAGGAAAAAAGAAATGTACACTTGAAATCTATATATTCTTATTAACCACTATTGCCTCAATATATTTAATTAAAAAATAAAATAATAATAAAAATAAATGACAACAAGTATATTTTAAAAAAGATTTCCTCTGGGGGGGGGGGGCTAGGGAGGAAACTTACTGTTCATAGGACACCAGTTATACACCTTTTTGATGGGAACAATAGGCAAGTGTTATCTAGTCCAATAATAAATACTATTTTTAAGTTTAAAAAATACCTGTCACTGTATGATGAGGATCATTTCATTCCCTGCTTTCCCTCCTCTCTGGGCTGGGCGCAGGAGCCGGTAACTTTATGAGTCAGCAGAGTCATCTAGAAGTGCGTCAGGTCTCGCCCCTCCGAGGCAGGAGCAGCCGCATCCAGCGTGGGTGACTGTTTTCTCCGTTCTGTCCTTAGTAACAAGTTGTCTGACCCCACTTTGGTACAAATGAAAAAGCTGGGGCCCAGACTGGAGTAACCCACTATCCACTGTCCCCCAGTAACTAGTGGCTGGCAATTGGTCATGGTTCAGAGAAGACAATCATCTTTTTTTTTAAATCTCAGTGTATCAAGAAAACACAAAGAAACAAATTTGGGTGGGTGAGCCGGTGAAGAAAATGCATGCTGTTAGCTCCTAGCATGCAGCGCTCGGGCCTAGAGCGAGGCAGTGACGGTGAGCGCCGGAGGGCGGGGCTTCCTGCCAGTAGGTTTTGGTGAGCTGCGGTTGTTGCCCTGTCTGTTGAGGGAAGGCCAGGCCTCTGGCTCCCAGCTCCTGGTTCTGAGACAGGGCTGTTTCTAGTCCCCCAAGCTCGTCTGCTCAGAGCTGCGAATTGTGGCCAGCTGCAAAATGACTTGGAGTGGGGTGATGGTTAGACGGTTTCAGATTCAGGAGGGTGGTTTGGTGGCTTGGCAGAGTGTCCATCTGACCTACTCCTAGAATGCCTTTGTTGCTACAGGGTCTAATAAGCTGAAAACATTTCCCAGGCCTCCTAGGGTTCTCGATAGAAGTCGTATCCCTGCTTCTTCCTTGTAGCTGACATCAAGCACCACCATGCAGGTTTTTCCAGAGCAATGTTCCATTACTCATGTATGGGCTGAACTGCCTCTCCCCCAAATTCACATGTTAAAGTTCTAACCTCCAACATGTTAGAATTTGACCTTATTTGGCAATATGGCTGTTGCAGACATGATTAGTTAACATGAGGTCATATTGAAGTAGGGTGGCCCTTCATCCAATATGACTGATGTTCTTATAAAAGGGGGGAATTTGGAGACAGACACACACAGGGACAATACCATGTGAACATAAAGCCAAAAGGCGCGCTGACGCATCTACAAGCCAAGGAGCACCAAAGACCGCCAGCGAACCACCAGGGGCTGCTGGAGAGGCCCGGGACAGACTCCCCCTCAGAGCCCTCAGAAGGAACCAGCCCTGCCTCACCTTGATCTTGGACTCATAGCTTCCAGAACTGGCAAACAGTACACGGCTGGTGTTTCAGTCATAGAGTCGTGGCACCTTGGAGCGGCAGCCCGAAGCAACTAAAATAGCCACTGCTGGCCTGGTGGGCGTCGAAGGGCAGTTGAGGCAGACGTGAGAGTGGTTTCCTGACCCCCTACACTCTGCACGACACGTGTTCTCTAAGTCAACAGCGAGCAGCCCTTTCTGACGCCAGCCCTTCCGACGGCAGGAGAGGCAACAGCTGCCCCAGCGTGGCAGCTCGGTGGGGTGGTCGGCCCGGTCACATCCAGGCCCTGCTGGGAGCTCCTCCGGCCTTCCCAACAATCGTGTTAGCACCTCGCTCCCTGTCGTAAATCCCTGTCTGCTTAAAATAACGGGAATGCTTTCCTGCGCCGAACCTTGTCAAACATTTAGCACTGCGTTAAATTTTCAGTTTTATACAGTTGGCATACATAAGTTCTAACACAGAGTAAGTTGTCCAGGATTGTTATATGCCTTTTTCCATGTGACAATCGCCTTTTTTTTCTGATAGTGAAAACAACAAATGCTCAATATGAGTTAGGAAAAAATCAAATACAAAAAACAGTAATGGCATAAGCCAGAACTACCCAAATTCCCACACTCTTTCAAATATGTAACTGCATTTCCACACACAGGTGCAATCACATACACACACACGGGTCCCTGGGGTGTTCCTTTGCACGGTTCAGAGTGCCGTTAGTGAGACCCCACTGGCCCCAAGAGTTTCCCTGTTCAAGGCCCCCATGCTGGTGGCAGCAGGAGGTCAGGCCTGCAGCGCACCCTCTCCAGGGCTCCGACCTCCTTCCTCTCACGCACTCCAGGGTCTCGGTGGGGGGCGGGGGTAGTGTCCAGTCCCATCTGGTGCCCAAGGGCTACATCCATGGGCTGACCATGGTAGACATGAATGTCTGAGCAGAAGCTGGTTTGGGAGAGTCACACCCCAGGTTTGGGGTTAAGTCCACAACCCCCAAAGCAGCCACAGAGGCAAAAGCTAATATTCTCTCTCGACCAGCGCAGGGCCCCAAGCCACCCACCCAGGGCCCCTTAACACAAGCTGTCCCATCCTCATCAGTATTTGAATGCCAGGGATATTCAGACTGTGCACACCATTGTGCCCTCCCCGACCACCATTCTCCCCCGTGCTTCCCAGAGATACTCGCATCGGGCACTCCACAGTGGCCGTCTGTCCTGGCCTGTCTGTAGACAAGGGTCTGACAAACTCGGCCTCCACCAGGGCACCTGGCTGCATCCCCCCTACGCCCTCACGCAGACACATCTTTTATTTTAATTATGGCAGAAGGCACATGGCATGAAATTGGCTATTTTAATCATTTTAAGCGTATACTTAAGTGGCATTGAGTACGTTGCAGTATTGTGCAACCATCATCACTGTCCATTTCCAGAACTTTTTCACTGTCCCCAAAAAGGAACTTTACTCCCGTTAGACAGTAACTCTCCACATCCCTCTTCCTAGCTCCTGGCAACCGCCATTCTCCTTTCTGCCTTGATGATTTGGTTATTCTAGATACCTCATGTAAGTGGAATTGTACAGTATTTGTCCAGGAAGTTCTTCCTCTTTGATTGTTATTATTATTGCCATCCTAATGGGTTTAAAGTGGCTTCTCATTGAAATTTTGCAGACACGTCATTCTACTTAAATGGGATTATACCATGTATATTCTTCTGTACCATGATTTTAAACTCATTAATATGTTGTAGACAGCTTTCTACAGAATGATGTTTTTGAGAAATTGCTTTGATTACAATTATAAGCATTTTTTTTTTGCTACTTGACTATTACTTCTCAGAATCAAATTAAATTAGTGAAAAAAGTCTTACGCTTATCAGAGGAAACATGGGGAGCCTGATTTCTAACTCGGAGCTGACGGCCCTTTCCTGTTCCAGTGCGCAGTAGCCTCCCGCCAGTCACCTCTGAGCTACGTGAAGTTCAGGTTGGGGGTAGGGACAGGTTGGGGGTGGGGAGATGAGATGTGAGACAAAGTTCATAGGATCCCAGCACTAGAAGGGACTTGCAAATTGTCCTTCGGCCTCTGCTTGCATTCCTCCAGGATCAGAGAGCTCACAACCTGATCAAGCTTTTTAGCCCATTTCCTCCTTGAGTAGCTCCACTGACTATAATTACAAAGTCCTTTTATTCATAGTAGTGTTAATTATTATATTATCATTTTATCCTTGCCCAAGGACATTTTTTCATTGCTTTTAGAAAGGACAGAAAGGAGAGAAAGAAACATTAATGAGAGAGAGAGAAGCACCTACGGGTTGCCTCCCATAGGTGCCCACGCCGGGGATCAGCGCCCGGACTGGGGACTGTGCATGTCCAGACCGAGGATCACATGCACCTGCACCCAGATGGGGTGTCACACCTGCAACCCAGGTATGTGCCCTGATCAGGAATTGAACCCTCAACCCTTCAGCTATGGAATGACGCTCCAAGCAACTGAGCCACACTGGCCAGGGCTTTTATTATTTTTAAGAGTTACAATTTCATTTGATTTAATTGGGGTAACTGGTCAATAACATTATGCAACTTCCAGGCGCACGGTTCTGTAACACCACATCTGTATACTGTGCTGTGTGCTCGCCACCCTCGAAGCCCTCCTTATGTGACTCTAAACTCCATCTTCTTAAAGGCTCCAAACTGCTCCAACTCAGCCTCCTCCTTGATCACCCGTACAACGAGGCATCCCTCCCGGCCCCACTTGTCCCCTGTTCCTCAGCCCCCTCAACCTCTAGGCTGGGGCCTTCCTTGCCCCTGACTGCACACACCCTCTAACGACACAGAGCTCACCAAACGTCCTCTCACGCCCAGCTCGGAATGAGAGCCCTCCCTTCACCTCTCAAGACGCCTTTTACCCGCACGCACTAAGAGTATCAATGACCTGTTTCCTCCGGGCGTGGAGGGATTTCAAGGCTGCTTGCCACAGTCTGGAAGCAAAAGCCACTTCACACAGTGATTAATAAACCTAAAGCACTCCTAACTCCCAGAAGGGACTATGGGAGGAGATAGAAATGGCTGTGAGATTTCTGAGACAGATTTATGGAGACTGAGTCACAGATGGCCGCCTTCAGTTAGCCTTTCGGGATATTTAGTGCCAGGACACCTCTCCTAGCATGTCCTAGGGACCTGTCTCTGGGTCGCCTCAGTTCCTTGCCCTGACCTCTGATAATGCACTTTCTGATAACTGAGCCCCACGGTGCTTAGCCAGGCACGGAATTTGGGCATTGAAATGGTGGCTCCCAGCACAACTTAGACTGACCAGTTAGATGAAAATCCCTGATACTTACACAGTAGCAGAGCAACCAGAAGCATAAATTGAGTTTCACAGTCTCCAGAGTGCTCTTCCGTAATGTTGATGATTCCACAGGGCTGGCTTCCTCTTTGCCCTGGGACCTCATGGCGATGCTGGGAGTCTTCAGCTGGACCTCCGAGTGTGGGCGGGGAGTCGGGTTCACAGGCCTTTCCCGCCCATCGTCATAACCCAGGTGGCGTTATGAATGGAATTCGTCTTCTCTGTTCAGGAACGAAGGGGATGACATGAATGGCCAGTCTGTCGTGTGTCAGCTCCAGCGTCAGGACACAATAGTAGCTCGTGCTCACGGAGCACTTACTACTCTGAAGCAGACCCCAGGCTAACCCCTTCCTAAGCATGGTCTCACTTCATCTCCACAGCAATCCTAAAGGTGGGTGCTACTTCTCACTCCATTGTACAGAAGACAGTGAGGTTCACAGACATGAAGTAACTTTCCCAAGGCCCCCACCGCCCACGCTCCCCACCCACCCCCACCCTGTGGGCCGTGGCAGAGCCCCAGCCTAACCCATCCCTAGGGCGGGGCGGGGCCGCAGGCAGGAAGAGGTACCCCACCTGACCCTCAGGCAACGCTGCCAGGCAGGCCCTGCTATCTCGTTTCACAGAGCAGGAAGGTGAGGCTCAGAGCTGCAGGGAAGTAACTGTGCCAGACCTCAGAGCCAGCAAGCGGCTGAGCTGTAACAAGCACACGGGCCTCCCATAGCCAGAGAATTATTTCCTCCGAGGGAAAGAAGAGGAGGTGAATTGGGATCCTTGTAAGGGCGGGGTCTGTGTCAAGTGGAGCATGCTACACCCCTTGGGGTCAGCCACCAGCCCCACACAGGATGGCACAAGCCAGGTGCTGGAGGAACCGTTGCCCCAAGGGAGGAGCAGGAGGGGCAGCCAGGAGTCGAGGGACCGTGAACTAGATGGGGCAGCAGCTCCGCGCCCAGGACACTGCTGGCCACTGGGAGGAGCCCTTCTCCAGCCTCTGAGCTCCAACGCTGGTGGCTGCCCTTCAGCAAACCCTGGCACTGTGGGAGGTCTGGGGACGCAGACCCTGAGTGGGGAGTCGCACTTCCCTGGAAGAGCTAGACAGACAGTGAGCAAGGAAACCAGCAGACGTGTAAAATGAGTACATGTGGGGAAGTCCCAGGGGGCAACAAGCAGGGGCAATGGCAGGGAATTACAGAGCAGCCAGACCCGGCCTCACCCAGAGGTGACTGTGGAGCTGAGACCAGAAAGAAGCAGGCGGAGCCAGCTCTGGAAAGCTCTGGGGAAAGGGCCCTTTCGGTAGAGAGAACCGCAGATGCAAAGGCCCTGCGGCATGGAAATGCTGAGTGCCTGTTGAGGCCAGTGGTGCTGAGGCACGAGAGAAGAGGGGTGTGTGAGGGGATGCACACAGTGCCAGCAGGCGTCCCGGGTTCGAGCTCCTGTCCGGTGACACGGACAAGCTTGTCCCTCCTCAGTCTCCTTTGCCCAATGATGGGGCTGGCCTTCCAGGGTCCTTGCTTTCTGGAGAGAGGATGTGCTTCCTCATGGCCCCCTGTTGCTTACCATCACAGCCAGGCCCCAGGAGCCAGGGCGGGTGTCTTCCTGACTAGAGGTTCCCAGAAAAATCTCAGAGCTCCTGCTCCAGGCCCGGGACACAGGGGCCCGAGAAGAGGAAGGAATTCTCACACACAGCTTGCTCCCAGGGATTTGCTCATGTTCCCAGGCTGACAACTGGCAACCCTCAGAACTCCATCCCCCACCCCCTTCCTCCTCCTCCTCCTCCTCTTCTTGCCTCCCTCTCCCCCAACCCCCCTTCTTGGGCTTAATGACTTCCACATGGGCCTCTGGCAGCTGGAGCCAAGCCTCCCAGCATTGTCTGAAATCTCCAAATTTAGAAGAAATATGAAAATTGTCAACCACTCCTTCCTTAGGGGGTAAAAGCAACATTCAGCACCGGGGGCAGGTCAAGGCGAGGCAGTCACGTGGCAGGCGCCTGAGCCAATGGGGGGCCCCCGGGAGAACTCAGCACCCGCCTCACCCCAACACTGGGCTTGCTTCTTCAGCTCATATAAAGTAAAAGGCGGAGGGGCCTCTGTGGCCAGAGAGCGGCGAGCAAGGGGCTAAAAGGAGGGGGGTCCAGTGCCAGCCATTTAAAAATGTCCTGGTGGCAGTGAGGGGTACCAGAGTCCCAGTCTAGTTAGTTGGGAAGCAGTGACATCCCCCCAAAGCCCCCAGTTGGGCTGGCCCCCACCTCAGGCCACAAGAAGCCACACCTGGACCAGACACAGGAGAGGTAAGAACCAGTGGTAGATGTGGGGCGTACCAAACGGGGGTGAGGGCTTCCGGCATCCAGGAGCGCGCTATGTCGGAGGTCTGGTCCTTGTTCTCTCGCTAACCCACCCTGTGCCTTCTGCCTGTCTGAGCCTCAGGTCCCCCATCTGCACAGGGGCTGGACTTGATGGTCTCTAAGTTCCCTTCCTGCCCTGACAAGATGGGCAGAGTCCGTGGTCCCGTTGGCATCAAGGACTTCTTGTGGTTGAGACTGAGTGAGGGTGGGAACAGAGCAAGTGGGCAGTGTTAGCATCTTGCCAGTCTGAGCTGCTCTGCTGTGGCCAAGTCTGGGCCCATGTCCCTGGCTTCTCTGCACACAGTTTTCCTTCCGTGTTCTTTGAGGGTTGATTTCACAGCTCCAAGAGCTGGGGGCTCCTGGCAAGGAAAACTGTTTTCCAATAACGGCTTCAAGAAGCAAAGCTGGAAGAGAAACCCCGATCAGCTCGGGCTCTGGCAGACCGGCAGACAGGCGGGAGGGCCAAGGGACTGGCTGGCCACAGCCCCGGGGCAGGCGTGATGGCTGAGAAATGCGGCTTGGGCTGCAGCCCCAGCTCTGCCTCTCACTGCCTGGCCCTGTGGCCTTGGGCAGGTGCCCTATCCTCGCTGACCTACAGTTTTTCTTGGTACCTTGAAGCTGCTGGATGACCAAGTATCCACGCAGAATGTGGCATTTGAGTCCCATCTGAGCCTAAAGTGCAGCCTCGAGAACAAGCTCCGGCCACAGCTGGGGCCCAGAATAGACCTAGTCTTCCAGCGTCAGCCTGTCCAGCATCCTCACCTCCCTCCTCTGGTCACACAAGGCCCAAGGCCATCATGGCCAAAAGGAGACTCTGGAACCCAATTGCCTGGGTCCAGTTCTGGCTTGTTTACTTCCTAGACAAGTGACCCAGGTGTCCCTGAGATGAGTCTGCCCTTAGACCGCTCATCTCAGGGACACCTGGGATGAGTCCAAGCAGGTGACACCTGGGATGAGCCCATAGCCTGTGCAAGTTTTCGGAGATTGAGCCTCAAGTGAGGAAAGGGAGCCGAAGGGGATCTGACGCAGGCATGGACCCAGGCGGCCTCTGGTGGGGAAGGGGCTGATCTCTGGGTCAGGACAGCAGCGTGGGGTGGGGACAGAAGAGACAGCAGAGAACTTCAGGAGGGTGAAGTGGTGGCTGTGGGGACTCAGAGGAAGGCAGGAGATTCAAGATGGGCATCACGGGAGGCAGGCCTAGGAAGAGGCAGAGGTCTGAGGCCAAGACTGGGAGACAAGTGGGCCACATCACTCTTCTGAACAAGCTTCGGCCACAGCTGGGGCCCAGAATAGACCTAGTCTCCCAGCGTCGGCCTGTCCAGCACCCTCGCCTCCCTCCTTCTGGTCACACAAGGCCCAAGGCCATCATGGAGACTCTGGAATCCATTTGCCTGGGCCCAGTCTGGCTTGTTTACTGCCTAGACAAGTGACCTTGGGCAAGTCACTTGCCATCTCTCAACCTCAGTAGGGCGTAGCTTGGACCACGGGTCCCAAAGTGCGGTGTGTAAACCACTGCACATTCACCTGCTGACAGGAAATCCGGGACGGGGCCCAGGCATCTGCACTGTAAGCTCCCTGAGTGATTCCCAGGCACGTGGACTTTAGGGAATGCTGTGCCACCAAGCAACTAGGGACCATCGCAAACAAAGCCGAGGCAACTGAATGCACAGAAAGAGGGCCCTGGCCTACGCCACCCAGAGAGCCGACGGCAGAGCTGGAGCGGAGCCGGTCTCCCTGCTCAGCCCAGGCCTCCCTGAGGTGGCAGGGACAGGAAAATGAGATGCGATGGTGACGGCCCAGCACTACCCAAGGCCTGAACACGAATTAACTTGTCTGATTCTCACAACAGCACTGTGAGGTGGGTGCAATTATTATCCTTATCTCCACTGTGCAGATGAGGAGATGGAGACACAGGTTAAGTAGCTTGCCTAAGGTCACATACCTCACCAGTCCTTAAGCCTGGACACTGCACATGTCCCGCTGCCCCAGATGCTCTTTCCACGGAGGTCTCCCACCTCCTGCCCTGCCCCTGGGCCACCTCACCCTGGAGGTTCCTGGTATCCTCAAGGCACCAATGAATGTCTGCCGGATTTTCCTGGTGCTGGGCTGAATCTCTTGCATCGTCGTTTAATCCTCCCAGGACAGCTAGGAGGCAGGAGGCAGCATCATTCCATCATCCCTGGTTTATAGGGCAGAAAACCCCTGGGGCTTACCCCAGGCGGCACAGCTAGAAAGCAGCAGAAGGAGTTCAGACCCAGTGTGCAACCTGGAAGCACTCACTCTCAGCCTTCCCCCCAAGGCCGGGCTGAGAGCAGTGAGGAGGCATTGCCACCCCCCAGAGGCTGGGGGCGTGGCCGTGCCAAAGCTTAAACCCAGGTCTTCTAGTTCTAAGGGGACCGCCCAGCCTTCTGCTCTGCCACTTCCCCAGGACCGGAGAGAGACTGCTTGTCTCCGGTCCCTAAGAGCCACAAGGCAGCTCTTTGAGCAAAGCCAGCGCTTTCCCTGCCTGGCCAGTTCTCGGGAAGGGCTGACACACGTAGCCCTAAGGAACAGGAAGTTCCAGGCCCAGTGGCACCACGGACTGTGTGAGCCTGGAGGGACCTGGGGGGACGGTCCCTGAGGTCCTCACCCGTGGGCTGTGCCTGGGCCTGCCTCTATTGCAATTTTCCAGCTAGACAGTCCCCCAGGGCTCAGGGCCGTGGAGTTGCGCAAAGAACTGTGATAAAGCCTCTTTCTGATTAGTGTTACTACGGGCACTTTCGTTCACATCTCCTAGTGCACAGGAGCCACAGCTTCTCGGGGTTCATACCCAGAGAGGGATGACCGGGTTCTGGGGTGCACGCCTGGCAACGTTATAGAGGAGCCGCGTGTTGTTTTCCAAAGTGGCTGAGCCAAGTCACGCAGCCTCCAGCAGTGTGGGAGCAGCCCCTCCTTGAGAACACTTGAAATGGTCAAATTTCTTAGAGTACGTGGGTAAAGTACTTCATTTTTTTACCCATTAAATCTGTGGGTAAAGAACGTAAGGAAGACACAAAAATGCCGCCACACCCTATCCGCCCGGGTCTCTAGAAAGTGCCCTGTGTGTGGACCGAGCTGCAGAGCGAGCGCCCTGCAGGCACTGAGGCGGCAGGGGCACTGCCCAGGGGCCCCCGCCCCCAACCTGGTGGCATGCAGTGGCCACGGTCCAGTCAGTGGTCACCCGTAGGACGATGTGCAGGAATTCGGGTGAAAGAGCCCTCAGTGGCCGCCACCTCCTACAGGCCTGTCTAGACAGGCCCCGCGGGGCCTCACCACACATTTCCAGGGCCGGCCCCTTTCCCTCTTGCAAAAGAGGCTTGTTGGTGGCGACGCTTCACCACCAGAAACCTTTTCTCCAATTCAAAACATGCCTGGATAGACAGCAGGAACCACCCATTCTCGTGGCCTATGGAGACCACTTCGCTCAGGGCCATTTTTGTTCGGGTGAGGAAATGGAGGCCGACTCCAGAGCCGGGGGTCTGGAGATGCAGGGCAAATCCCGTGCCCAGGTGAGGAGGTGAGCAGGCAGGGAGCAGAGCACTCCTGGGATGCGGCTGAGGAGCGCAGGAGGCTGGTTGCAGATGTCAGAGGAAAGTCAGGCTGCTTGGGTTTGAGTCACAGATCCGCCTCATACCAACTGTGTGACCTTGGGTGGGATAAGCACACCTGTCTTGTTAGGGCATTGAGCTGTCTGATTAAACGAGTAAAACCTCAAACAGCCCTCAGAACAGTGACTGACACACGGTAAGTTCTCAATAAGAAGTAGTTGCAAAAATGCGAATATTAAAGGAAGCTTCTTGGTGGGGCGGGGAGTGAACCGTACTGAGCTCCAGCTCTTCTTTCCACCTGAAGAGGGAATAAACTGCTCCTTCGAAAATAGTAGTTGGGCCCTGGCTGGTGTAGCTCAGCAGACTGAGTGTGGGTCTGTGAACCAAAGGGTCACTGGTTCGATTCCCAATCAGGGCACATATCTGGGTTGTGGGCCAGGTCTCTAGTAGAGGGTGCAGGAGAGGCAACCACACATTGATGCTTCCTCCCTCACTTTCTCCCTCCCTTCCTTCTCTCTATAAATATCTTTTAAAAAAAAAAGTAGCACATATCAACTCTGCCCACGCCCACACGTCCGGTCCCTTTGCCCACTCTTGGAGGTAAGAATCATTATCCCTCTGGAAACCTAGAGGCTCAGAAAGGTTTAGTCATGTGCCCAACACAGCTTGTAAGAGGCCGAGCTGGGACTCCAAGCCCGGTCTGGCTCACTCTAGAAACCATGTGCTTGCCCTCTAGCACCACCCCGTGAGCAAGAACTAGCCCTGGCTCCACCCTGCCTAGTAGGAGCAAGTTCTGGGCAGGGGCTGCTGGAGCCCGATTCTCCCCTTCTGATAAGGGGGTGGGCAGAGCTCCCACCCCACCACCCAGGTCCCACCCCCCAAGCCTGTTCAGAGGCAAAAATGGACCCTGGCAAAAGGATCCTTCTGGCCAATGAGCAGCCAGCCCTTAGTGCAGCTGAGTCCCTGGGGGCCTCAGCAGTCGGGGGCTGCCCCTTGCCCCACACGGCCCGTGGAGCTTCGAGGAAAGGGCGGTGGGCAGAGGCCAAGGCTGGAAGGAAGGAGCAGCCTCACCCTGGCTCCCCCGCCACGAGCCCATATCAGCCACAAACCTTGGGCCCCCTCCTCAAAGACCGTCAAAGACCTAAGCCACGGTCAGAGGAGAGGAAAGCTCCAAACTGGAAGACACATGGACCCCACAAGCTCCACAAGGACAGTGCTCAGCTGCACACATGGTTTGGAATAAAAGGGAGACAGGTCAGGTTACCCCATGCACTGCAGTGGGTGCAGACTCAGGGAGGAAAAATCTGGGGTAGGGGTGGGTGGAGTAGCAGGGGGCACACTTTGGTGTTTTGTTTTGTTTTTTAAGAAATTTTGTTTATT